CTGATTGACTGCTGCCACTTCAAATGTCTTCGAGTTGTCCGAGTCGCTCGTTCGTTTCGATCCTCGTGCTTTTCGAGCAATTCGTGTCCCAGCGCCAGGATCTAGGGAAAGGTAGAGAAAAACTCAAAAGCAACGCAAAAATTGATGGAAGGTTGCCCGTCTGACGTAGGCCTTAGCGAGAACCCGCTGCTGCCCGCTTTTTCAACATCCATTAATTTTCTCGGGGTGCAGAGGTTAACGGAAAGGGCGTTCGATGAACTTTTCACTCGCATATTTATAAACAATATCTCGGAGATAGTGTGTAAAAGGCATAAAAAGTTAAAAAAGGTCGAATTCTTTGCTGTTTTCTCTGTGGCTGTGCGGAAAGCAGAGACCTTTCAAGCAACATCAGATTTTTTTTTACTGCAGACTGAGAAAATAAAGTCAAGATATTTTTTTAAATATAAGAAAGAAAGTAAAGAACTTCGTACAGAAAACTGATCCTTTTTTCTGACGGTATAGCATGTCAGGGTAGGTGATTTCACTGATAATTTCAGATATACTTCGATCATTTTCTTTGGATTTGCCACCTAAGGCTTCACAGCTACAAAGCGAACTGTAGACAATGTCATGGTAGTGATTGTGGACCTTCTCAAGATAACAAAACTATGCTTGATGACAAATTAACAGTTAAGGGAAGCTCCTGCAACGTCTTTCCCCTTTAGCGAAGCGAACGCCGGAGACGAGGCGAACTCCACTTAAGCGTTCGCTCTGCTAGGGCTGAAAGAGGTTGGAGGAGCTCCACCTAAAGTCTTAAGCTGTCACCGCATACGGGAATTAATACTGGTTTCTCAAACAAAACAAAAAAATATTGTTTTAATCGTTCTTTTCCTCAGAGAGTGATGGCGACTGTACTTTCTTACAGGGTAACTCGTAGCCTATCGTAGCAAGAAATTATTTGGCTTTAATGGCTTTTGTTAATTACGAAATCAAGGCAGACGACTGGTACAGTGATCGTGTTGAGAAAGCTTGTGATTAACTCAAAGTGACACTAAGTGATGCGTAAGAGTTCGTAAAATGTAATAGAATTCCTTTTTGTAGTCGATGCACCACTAGTGACATAAACGTAGAGACTCTTGGAGACATTCATACCCGCCGGCGGACGGAAGAGGCTCTTGACGAAATAAATATACCTCTGCGGACGTTAAAAGTGTCCTTAGACAAATTCCTTCGAAAGATCGCCGAAATAGCGCAAGGCGATAGGCGCAAAATCGCGAGTGGATTCGCCGATTTTTTAAAAGGGTTAGTCTTGAAGTGCCTTAGCGTGCAATTCTGACTGGGGTTTTAGTTTGCATATAAGAGATGTTGCTTCTTTCATTGAGCTGCATGCATTGCGGTTGATTTTTCCGTGAAATTTAACTTCAACATGGCCAACTATACCAAATGAAGTTTTTGTTCTTGGCTGAGGGCAAACTTTCAGTAATGATGTCACGAATAACACTTATAAGACAGAGTAGTGTTCAGAATTTTTTTTAGCGTCAGTCTAAGATATCATTTGACTTTACTATTTAGAAGACCCCATACACACTTTTGGGGTTTCCTATGGCTAAAAAGCAATGCGGCGAGCGGAGAAGCTTTGTCGCGTCTGGCTTGGTACTTTTATCTACGTATAGTTTATATTATTCGCCAAAAGCTCACGAGACATTGAGCTGCATTCGCTTGTAGGGTGCGTTTTTTTTAACCTCACTTCCATCAACACCTACATTGTCAATTGTTTTTGTCTGCGGTTTCGTGGTTTTGCCATGATGCGAAACTACAAAATTATGAAGTTATCAATATTTTTTTTAACCGAAATGCACTCGTTGTCTGATGCTATATATTTTTGTTTTTATTCTTTTGCAGGCTGCACCCTTCACATTGGCAGAAATTTGCATACGGTGCCAATGATAATCGCAAATGCGCCGTATGAATACAAACGAAAAAATAGCGAAGAAAAACACAGGGACAAAGACGAAGGGAAGCAGGACAACGCGCCTTCTCCTGTTTCCCTTCGTCTGTATTCCTGCGTTTTTCGGCGCTGTTTTTTCGTTTGTCAATGACCCAACTGTTTCAAATCCCCACTTTCTTATGGAATACAAATCGGTATCTATACACCGTTTCACATTAAGTCCAACCGCGGCGAACCAATGACATGTAGCGAATAGAGAAGCACTAATAGTGGATCATCAAGTTGCTCGCTGTCTCGTTTGCGTTTGCTATCTTCGGCTAAACCGATCGCGTGCTGTACTAGAGGAGGATGAGGCCGCATTCACACTGCGTGTTCTGTTTAGTCGCTGATAGCGTACGTGCGAAGGCAACGAACGCCGTGACGATGCACTGTCGGCACCATAGAGTTATTACAATAAACGCTAAAATTTCTGGTGGCGCTAGTGTGCTTTTGAATTTTGAAGCAGACAGCAAGCAGTCTAAATTGGAATTCTAATGCAATACTATGGGAAAACGCAAATGCATTTTCTGTTCGAGATTGATTATATGAGCATATATTGATTAGTGCTGTAACCGAATAAAAGGCTGTTAACGTTTTACTATCGGATCTTCAAAAATATGTGTCATAGCTTTTTTCTTTGGAATTCATGGCGTCGAACACTGCGCTAAAATAGCCCAATACATGTTGACGTTGCTATAAGATGATAATGATGATGACTATAATGATGATGATGATGACTCTAATACATGTTGACGTTGCAGACTGCTATTATAGGGCACTCATTTGCGCATATAGTGAGTGCAATGAAGCACACAGAGTGAAACACCTTCATGAAACACCAAAAAGATGCCAATGTATGCCAAATCAAACAAGCAAAACACACTAGAACGAAGCATGGAGTTTTAGAACGAAGGACGCACGCTGGATTAGTAACAAGCTGTGGGTAAGAAGCAAACGTACTGGACTACTAACGAATTCTAAGCACCGTTTATTGGTTCTTTTGATTATATTGATAGCTTGTATTGACGTATTCTGCTGTCGAACATATACCTTGATCTCAATTAATGCAAACTTAAACATCGCTTAGTAATGAAAAAAACCATTAACAAAAAAAACATTAACTACAAAATTACACTTTTATCAGGGGATAAAGCTACATAGTGCCCGTTACAGGTAAAGAAATTACGCTGATCTCTATTATTTCCTGGCCAAAAGAAAAATATCACGTACGTTTTCCCATGGATATACATAGGAAGACTGAAACAGTAGAATGTTTGCTGCCTCCTTCAATATGCAACCGTGAGTCCCGTAGACACTAGCGCCAGTCGAGCCTCCAGCGTTTATTGTAATAACTCTATTTTTGGCACTGCCTGATTGGATCCATCTAATTTTAGTGTTGGCTGCAGTCAAATTTAGTGCGAAAGAGTGGATAAAGCCGCTCGTTATATTAACCTGATCATGAGGTTTTTTGAGGAAACTCGGGAGGCCTGGTGACACGTCAGCGTTCAGGCAGGTCATCCTGATGGCTCGCCCCAATCGTCAGTCATCAAATTAGGTCGAGATTTGTGTTAATTTTTTTAAACGCAAAGAGGATGTATTTCTGAAATATCCTCTTGGCCCCTGCTATAATAACATATTTGATCATCTCGAAGCAGCCTCTCATAGTCGAGGCGGAATTACACACACCTTACTGAAAGAAGGGAGAGTTAATGTTATCGTTTGCTAGATAGTTCCTTCTCTTTATTACTCTAATAACTTTTTTTGTATTTACCTGCTGTATTTTGAGAAAGTCGCATAACGTTAAGAAATAATATGCCAAACTTCAGTAGGAAAAAAAATAAAAGCGGCTCAGCATAGCGATGTGCCACCCCGCCAACAAAATTTGAACAAAATGTTGATACGCGGCAGTATATAGTTATGCTGCCTAATCTGAAGAAGCGACGCGATTTCAAATGTATCACAAAAATAAAAGCTGTGCAAAGCCATCTTTTCTTTTCCTTTTTTTCATTTTTACTTGCGCATAATCGGACATGATTAGGAAGAGAATAAAAATATTGGAAGAGGAAAAGGAAAATTATTTTGAAGTTTCCTTTTTGAATAAAATTAAATTTATTTTTGATTGTGGTGACTGTAGTTAGAGAGCTATGCTTAATTTATAGGCACTTCAACCTCTTTTTTTAACGATGCCAGTTTGGTGCTTTGTGCATAGAGAGTGCAACTGAAAATCGCAATGATTTGAAATTGGAACTTTCTGGATATGCAGTGTCAAAATTCTCGGCGGATGCCCTCCTTTTCTTTCTCCGAACTGTTTTATATTTTATTAGACGAACCTAGCCCATTTCTTGTGACTTCAGGTAAAGTCTAAGAGAGCTCATAACAATGATATTAAACACTAAGATGGCTGAAGTGACGCTACTCTCAGGTCCCACTTATTTAGCCTCTCTAGCCGTAATTGTGCATCACCCTGAAATCTTAGATTTCTCAGCAAGAGTCGACAAAATGGCGCCATAACACGTGTACGTTCTATAAACAGGACGAGGAGAAAATTTTCCAACATGTGCCAAACTGACATGTTCAAAACATGCAAAATATAAAAAATATATATACGTTTCGATTGTTTGAAGTGCCATGTGCTTGAAACCTCGTCTATAAAGTCACCACGGCCTTTCTTACGGAGTGTTTCAATACAGTATTTTTTTAGTGCAGAAGCTAGCAACGTAAACACAAGAAATAACGCGAATAAAGCCTCAAACATATCGTCGCACAAAAAGGTCAACCAATGATTATCACAAAAGTTTAGGATGACCTCTCAGTTACCAAGCCGCGCTTGAGCTTTCGGAAATGTCACAGCTAACGTCCGTATCGTTCTGAGTCACAAACAACATCGTCGTGCGCGTAGGGCGTGTTCAATGCTCCACACGAGAAGCTCTTTATGAACAATGAAAAGCTGACGCCACTACGCCAAACTTTATTGCGCAAAGGCTTGTGCACGTCTTTAAAAGAAGTATCGGGCTTGGGTGAGCCCTGAGAAGAGATGTCTGCCCTTCTAGCTTTTGTGCTTGTCTGTGCCAGGGTGGCGGAGGGCCTTCGGGCAGGTAAGTTAGGCATGGGTCATTTGTAAATATCATCTATGCCTGTGCAGATTGAAAGTACACTAATCGTGTCAGTGAGATATTCAATATTATTATGGTTGTGTTTGTGTAGCGCTTTTTCGCATAAAGTTATTTGAAACTATCAAAAAAGTTTTATTAACCAGCTGCATATATACACGGCAAAGAAGCCAGGCGACAAGAGGCGCGAGAAGAAAGCCTCACGCGCCCGCGGAAAGAGATTCGGCGAATCGGCCATGCCGCACCACGACAACCATTTGAGTCTAATGCAAATATTGTAAGTGAACAATGCAGATGCGAGTCTTTACAAGGGTGTTCGTGAGAGGAATGGAGATAAGTTACCGAAATTGCATCTCAAAGTTCCTTAGTCTGCACCTCAATTCTTTAGAAGCCCGAGTGCCAAATATTTTTCTTAAGCGATCTATATCGCTCAAAGGGCATCATTGGGGGTTACACCAACTATATGTACCATATACGTAATGTGAATGTAGATTTCACATATTTTTTGTGACAAGGTATATGACACTAGATATAACAAGCATCTTGCGAAACTTGTGACATGCTCGAATGCGTTGAGAATTATAAATGTGTGATGCTTTTGGTTGTGGATAGTAAACTATAAGGAAAGACCGGTCGACAATTTCCGTGGGGCACTTATTATCTCACATCTTCTTCCGGAGTTGTTTCATTGTGAAGTAAAATGTGGGATATTTATGTTTTTTTTTATCAATGCCAATTTGATTGTTAGAAATAGCATACATATTTTAGACAAAAGCCTTTGCTCTATTTATAAAAAAAGTTTCTAGTGGAGTTCACACGTAATGTGAATAATCATAAAACCCACTCAGCTCCCGTTAAGGGCGGTTAAAACCAAACAGGAATGCGGGTGCGGGTGGGCGCGGGAGCCGTAACACGGCTATATATTTATCACTTCTGGGGCCCGTTACGGTTAGAAAGTGCGCAGTTTTTGTTTGGTAACTAAGCAAATAAGTAAATAACAGGCATTTTTAGTAGATTGACCCGATACCTCAAAAACTCAATTTTATGCATGCGCAAAGGCGTCCACGGAGAGTCGGGTGTTTCTCCAAGTCATGGGATCTACTAAAATTTCTAATAAAAAAGTTGCTCTCCACAATATTTATACAAGCAATATTTGCTAGCGCACATTACTAGCGAACGACCTTCATGGTAATTAGTCAACAATTTTGCGGTTTCGCCGAGCATTTTTCGGAAGCAAACGATACGGAAGTGCAGAGTGCGAACGCATAGCGGTTTTATACTTAACAGAGCAATAGACAGGGGGCACTGATGCTACCGAGAGCTAAGCGAAGCGATGTTCACACTAATATGGATCGTGAGAGTACATTTCAATCTATCTCTCACCTCATGTGTTACTTAAAATCGCTCTATGTATTTAAAGCATTTTTATCCTAACATTGTTAATAGGGTTGACATTTCACTGGAACAATACGCAATCTTTACAAAAAAAGTGTTGTTCATCCGTTGCTTCAGATTCCTGCTCTTTATCTTCCGCCAGCAGTTTGACACAAACAAGTACAACTTCTGTTAAGAAGTCAATATGATATCTTGTCTGAGTCCCATAAACCAAAATATGAAAATGTTCGGGCCTGCTGGGGTAGAAGTGTTTTTCATATCCACTGTCTGTGCGCCACGGAGTTGTTAATTCCCGAATTAAATTGCCGCTCCTTATATATCCCTTATTCAAAAACATTTCTATGGAGTTTTTTTTTTCTTTTTTTGCTTTGTAGACAAACAAAATCTTATCATTAGAGTTATGCGGTCCAGCACTTTCTCCTTTCTGAACCATGGTATAAGAAAAACAAAAAGAACATACAGGATTGAACGGGACGTGAAAGAGCAAACGAAAATGTTCCTTATATATCGTGATTCAAAGAATTGTTCGTAATTGGCAGTCTCCTTTTGCTTTGAACATCTGCTTTTATACAGATATTTTGAAAGGCATTGACTTATCACGTCGACCTGGAAGCCTTTGCGTTTTGGCAATGCATCTAGAATAATAAGTATTTCATATCAGTTTTGCATGCTAGAGTCTTGCAATTTATCAAGAAGGTGGGGGCATTCCCGTATATAGGGTTTTTTTAAAGAGCAAAAAAATTATGTTTTTATCAGTAGCTGCAAATACTTTACATAATGTTCTGTTTCATGGAGAACTCCAGCCTTTTGCAATTCATATTTAGAAATGAAGACGACCAGATTCTTGATCAAGCTTTGAAGGCGAGTACGTAGGTGGAATTGCGGAACATTAAAACCCAGGATTAAAAAAGGAAGAAGTAAAATTGTTCAGTCATTTCTTTATTTTTTTTTGCCAAATCTAATGCCCTATTGGGCAGGAAGAACGTTGTTTTTTTTTTCAAATTAAAGAGTCTCAATTCCCTTTTGACTTGTTTTGTGCATTTTGATGTTTAGTGGTAACTTTCCCTTGAGGGAATAGTATCTTTCAATATTTTTGTAACCAAACCACAACAAAGGTTCACTTTCATGGTATGGTATACTGCGTAGCATGCAAGGGGATCCTTTTTTTTCCGTTAAATTGGGTTAGATTTGTTGTTCCTCCTCTCTGTATAAAACAAATTATAGAAAAACCTTGATCTTCACTAAATTAAGGCACATTGTTTCGTAAAATGTGCACGTGACTTCCTTTAGTACGGGTGCACGTGGTGCCACTTGCATAACATCTACTTTAATGCGACACGTTCTACCCGGCGTCAAATTTGTTACCTGAGAAGCGGGAGAGCCAGGCGTGTTTAAAATTGTACCTTTTAAGATTTCCGCAGTTAAGAAAAGCCTTAAACGTAAATATTGCTGTTATGCACATCAACTGCGGCAAGAACCTTGCGCTGCGATCTTGAACGCAGGGCCTTCTGCGGAGTATGTTGTTTATCCTAAGCTTCTGGAAGCAAGAGGATTAAATGGAGTAAAACTTCTTCACATCAATGAGAAACTTACTCTTCGTTTAGAAAAAAGCTCCGTACTCGCTGAAAATTTCGTAGTATCGAGCCTTAATGGCGACAAACAAGTGGATAACATTGTAAGTATTTTTGTTACTTTAAGAACCCCGTCGTTGTTTTCTTTGTTCACCTTTCTAGTTCATTTGTGATCCTTAAATATGCATCTACTGAAATGTAAAAGAGATCTGGTATATGATGTCATGCCGAAAGGCGTTGCCTTGATATTCTACTTCAAAGCAAAAAACATGTATGTCATATTTAAATTTCAAAATTCGCAGACGCAGGAAGCGAAAAAGCTATAGGCTTCGTAGGGTATGGGAAACAGAGCACGGCTTTGAAAACACCTCCAGATTTAATTTTTAATTGTTTTATGTTTATGCTTGTTGCATCCTTATGTATTTCTTAGGATTGAGCATCAAGATGTAAGTACCTTTTAAATATATTTTATTTGGGCTGATATAAAATTTTATTTTGAACACCTGTCGATTACTCATATTACTGACCTTACGGTCGTTTCCAACAGAATTTTCACCTTCGATACCTACTTCTAGTCTTTTGCGTCCTCTTTCGTGTAAGAAATAATTTATTTATATTTAAAAGTGTACAAACGTTTTCACAAAAAAGGCTCATGACGGCTGCATAATTTTAGCAAACTGCAAGCCATACCACCGCTCTTCATTCATAAAATAACAGAAACAAAAGACGGTTCATCGATCGTTTCGTCTGGTATTTTAGTCCCTTATTTTCTATCTTTGTTTTTAAGGTGAATGGAAAAGAAGTGGAAAAGAACATTTACCATGATAAAAGTCAGATGGCAGTGGTATCTGTGACAGAGAAAGACGGCTTTGTGGAAGTGGTAAGGAGAGCTCACTTATCGGATCCATGCCTATACTTCGTAATTGATAAAGTATCTACCATAAGAGAAAACAAGTTTAAAGCTGGTATTGACAAATAGAGTGATTCCCATTTGGTTTTATGCGAGCAGCGTTCATTCCAGCCTTTTGGCACATTTTCGGTTTATCCTAGCGTTCTTTTCATATCTATGTATACTCAAAGATATCATGCTTCTTGTGCAAGCAATTTCTTTCACTGGTGACGTCTTTTTTAGTTCGAAATGGCAGATCATACTTTCAGATTTATCAACTTCCTAGGCTGACCAAGCAGATGAACTGATATTGAGCGAACTAGACTAAACATACCGCTGGCCTGATTGGCATTCCTAGTATTGATGAGGCCTTAAGTACCTTTGCTGTGGAAGTTACCCAGCTAGTGCTATATTTGTCTTTTATTGGTCATGAAAATGCGAAATTTCATTTATTTTTGTTTTTGTCTTGTCAACGTATTGGACTAACGGAGTTAGTCTATCTTTTATCACCATATTTTCACGTATATGCCTACCGCAATCCTTTCGAATACAATGACAACGTAATGTCGTCATCACGTTTACATGGCCCTACCGTCGGATTTGAACCGTTACAACGCCTGCCCTCCTTCAACTGTGTGGCAGGAATGCATCGTAATACACAGTTGCAATTTTTGTTGATTGGATTTGTAATGCATAACTCATTCAATTGAAACAGAACACAATACACTGCAGATTTGTATCTCCCTCTTCAGATTTAAAGCAGCTATTTAAGCACGGTTTATTAGAAGCTTAAAACAACACAAGACGTTCTCACCGTGAAGCCGATAACTTACAAATGCCTAATGAAAAATGTCAATACGTTATCTACGTAGATTATGGGTACGGTCCCGTGTTTTCGAATAACACCCCACCCCCCCCCCCCCCCCAAGAAAAAAAAGAAAAAAAAATAGAAACGCCATTGAATGGTTTGTCAATACGGATTTATCCGAAGAACTCCAAAATTTGGGGTCGTAACAAAAAAAAAATAAAGAGCAAAAAGCCTGTGTCTTACGAATAAACTTCACAAAAGCCCAAAGTCAGTGGATCTGATGAAACTTCAGTTTCTTTTGAAATCTTGAACTACTGACAAAAAGGGGTATGCCTCTTAACTCGTCAAGCTTCCTTCAGAACAACGGTTGACGGTACTGGACTTCATTTATTTATTTATTTGATTTTAAAATAGAAACAGAATAAAATTAACTTCGAATATGAAAAGTGGGAATCTCAAAAATAAACTTCAATAAACCTCGACATTTCAGCGAAAAATTACCTCTGAGAAACACCCTCCGCCTTTCGTAACAAAATATGAACCCCGAAAACACAGAATCCTGATTACGGGCAAAGAGATATTTCAGTGCTCTGGACGCCATTTTTAATGGAACTCAACACTCTAATAAAAAGTTTCTCCTTTTTCTTATTCAAATTGTAAAACGTCTAATCTATAATTGAGCTTATTGTTGCATGTACTTTACGACACGTTTATAAAAACATTTCGTTCAAAAATAGAGGTAACTTTAATTGGAGCCAAGTCGATATTTTTGTCCAATAGCGAAATTGAGAACGTGACTTGGTATAATGGCTCTGCTTTTGAATAAAAAAAATAATATGCGGCCAGTAAAAATTATGCAGCGGAGCACTGCAAGCCACGAGATTTTTTTTGACAAACACACCAGAGTAATTTAAAGGGATACTATAACGAAATTTCGGCGCTCATTTTTTGGTCTCTATGTGTTCAAAGGAGCAGCATCACATCGAACATACCAATATCTTGTTAAAAAAGTCACGAAACAGAATTTTAAAACGAATTAAACGACTAGCAAAGAGCACTTGGGGGATGTCGCTAACGCCTCGTTTGTAATGCCCGTCTAGGAACCTTGACAGCTAGTGACGGAGGTTGTCTCGCCTCCAGCCACGATGATAGATGAGGGGAAGGAGGAACTCCCCTCTTCCCGAGAATGCCTTTTGTGTGTCGGAGAAGTCTCTATTGTCCCCCTACAAGATTACAGAAGATTAGCTTTTCCCTCATAAATCGTACAAAAGCAGCCGCCTCGGTGGCTGGAACGACTAGGACATCCTCTCGACGTCAGCCTCGTCGTAGCTTTGCTCGTCCTGAGACGACCCACGTCACGATTGCGTTTGGCGTCACGTGGTCTCCGCTGGGCCTTTTCCGAGCGCTTGCCAGAGTGGGCCGTTTATAACAAAAAATCCAGCCACCAGGCTCAAAATATAAGCGTGCGACTGTCATTTACGGATAATGTGGATCATATTCAACCTATTTTTGAACACGACGGGAATATTTCAAATTTCGTTGAAGTATCCCTTTAAGTCTAGGCACTAATGTGACTATCTAATATTGATATGAAGGGGTGCCTTCTTGTCTCCTTCACAAGCGAGAGAAATCTTCAGGGGTGGTGGCTTCACCTAGCAGAAATTGTTCCAGATAGCTCTTTATATTTCAAAATTAGAGTGTATCAGTATATAGATAGGGTTCATATAACACACGGTGATCATGTAGGGTTTCGGCACTAATTTCAGAAAGAGGACCATCTTATATAAATTAACCTAACAGCTATTTTTTTTCAAATAGAAAGTACAACAAAAACTTTATTCCACTTCCAAAAAAAAAAAAACGTAGAAGTTTACTTTATATAGTTTATTCTTGTTTTATCAATACTAGAAATAATTTCTGCTGAAATTATCTTACATGTCGCCTAAGAAAACGATCGATTACCTGTGATATCGCTCATACATATTACGATAAAAAAGAAACGACAAAATTTTGAGTAGGCGCTTTGATGGGCAGTGTTTTATTGAAATCCAATTTCATGTCAAGAGTAAAAGTATTCTCATAGCATTATCACGGTAGGTTAGCATGATTATCTCAAATTTTTTTTCCAAGATTTAAAGTGCGAAGAGGAGAAGTTATTCCGGTCAATAGGCCTATATCGTGACGCGTCGCTAATTTTAAAACGGAAGTACTTTAGATAATTTTAATATTTCCGCAAATAAATAAAATATGAAATAAGAAGTTAAAAAAACATTTGCTGGAAACGATGTTTCATAAGCCATTTTTCTGTTAATCATAGCGCGGGTCCTTGGGCCATACTCTGAGAATTGCTCCTCTACCACTGATGGGACGGTCCGAAGATGGACACATGGCACACAGAGTCTTCGAAATCGAGGATCCTGCTGAATTCAAAACTGATTATATCGGTGCGGTAACTAATTTAAAAAGGAACATTTCATGTGTGACTTGTTCAAAAACACATTGAAACTTATACTCATGTTATAAAGCGAATATAATATGTATATAAGTATTTATACGATCGTATATGTTTTAATGTGTTCATTGTTCACGAACATTTATTTGTTTCGCTAAAGTACGGGGCTACGACTTGCATAAAATAATTTTCTCCTTTCAGTAATCATAGGCCCTACTCAAAATATATTCAGATGATTGTAACAGAAAGCCATCTTTTCAATCATATTACAGTGCTAAGAATAAAGCCGCCCAATTTTCTTTTCCCTCCATTGATTAAGGCTGAGGAACCTTACGCTACATTCTCGATACACACCACCCTAGGAGCTTAGCTGACTTGAAAAAGGAGATAATCAACAGGTGGTCCTGATAATACGCGAAATCAGTTGGTATTTCTATGTGCCTATAAATTAGTTCTCATAGCGTAAGCTCGCAAATTCATCACGCATTTTGTTACACAGATTTACCCACGTCGACAACTTTTCTATGAGTGCATTAAAATATATCATGGTATAAACCGGTCGTAGGGGCTAAAAAGGTACTATATAGGATACGTCTTAGAGTGAGGACTCTTCATTCTGACTGGTGTGTAGAATTAATCTGGCCAATTGCAGCCAGCATCTGCCGATGTCCCTGGTTGTGGGCGCAAGGAGTGCAAAGCGTCGTTCTACTAGATAAAACAGCTCACGACAAGACAAAACAATGTCGAAAATGATTTTTCAACACCTTGCTACCGCTCAAATAGCCGCATTGCAAAACAATAACTGTCCCGATCGGAGCCTGTGCAGCTCAAAGTACCATTATGGTACCGAAAATGGCGCCAAGATACTCCGAGCCGTACATTCTAACGACTATGGCTGTTACCACAGTCCCCTCTACATGGGAAACGCCTCGAAAGCCTGGAATATAAAAAAAGGCATAAATTAAAATGAACATTAACAGAAAAGCCTCTCGGTAACCTTGACTGGCTACAAAAGGAATAAAACAAACTCAAGACGAGGGACGACGAACAATTACTAAATTTAACATGGAACTGCAAAAAATATAACATTCGCCACAGTTCAACCTGGTACATTCACCACGCTTGAACTAACCACAAATAATTGATCGCTGTTTTTATTATTGCCATTTTTACCGAGTTATCTGAATCATTAGACTTAAAATCCCTTTTTCAATTACGCAAACTATCGGTGTTATTGTGTATCTTTTCTGTCTTGCTTGATATTTAAAATGATGATAATGCATTTAAAGCAAAGGTGCAAGCCAGCTGAACAAGAACCAGTTTAATGGAGACGTTCCTTGTTTGATACAAGGACCAGGCGGATTTTTTTAGTCGCGCACCAATCACCTAGTATTTGGAGATTTGTGTTTGTCCTTTCTCCCACACGTTTCCTTTTTCCTGTGATAATTACATTTTTTCTTGTCCAGCTCTCTTACTAGTATAGCATAATTATTATTATCATCATAAACTTAAAATGCAGACCGTACCACCCTTAGTGTTAGAGTGGTGCAGCTCTTAAAACCGGTTTGCTCTACTGACGTCTAACTCCTTGTTAGCTTAGTTGGTAGAGCGCTCCACTGAAATGGTGGCCCCTGGTTCAATACCAAGACCAGGCGAATTTTTTCAGCAGCGCACCAGTCACCTAGCTGTGTCGGGAGATTTCTGTTTGTCCTATGTCCTACTTGTTTCCCTCCACCATGGTATATTGCCACGCGCTAGACACACCGGCGGATGGCACAAGCTATCACGTTAAGATAAGCACGTGACATCGGGCAGTGCCACACGCCAGTCGCACGGGCCGGTCGCACGAGCGTCTGGCGCTCCTGCCATCGCGTGACTGTGAGTTTTGGTTTTTGGGACATTCTTTATATCTACTCCTCTGGGGATTGACATTGAAGCGAAGTAAAAGTTTTTGTTTTTCCACGAAGCCGAACACTTTTGTGCTGTGCATAAAGTAGTGAAAATATTATCGATATTTAACACATATATTCTGTAGCGTGTTTGCGACGTCAATCACCGAATCATTCACTATACACCCATTTTATATGTGTGTTTTATGTGTGTGTTTGTGTGTGTGTGGGGGGGGGGGGGGGGGGGGGCAGGGTGCAGACCCAGTCCAGTCGCATATTTTATTACTTCTTGCAAGTACCCCCGAAGTCTTGTAAAATTTATGTGAAAATCATTTTAAAAAATAACTTCAAAATTTTACGCAGAAGCAATAGAGTGTTTTCCGTCATAAAAGAGACAGGAAGAGGGATGTAAACACCGGCAGCGGTCGTTCTCCACACTCTGAGGGTGGTATGGAAAATACTCTTAGGTTCGCTCAACAGCCCACCCCTTTTGGGTATCAACCCTTCATACTATGATTTTTCATTTTCTACAACACTGCTATTTTGCTATTCAGTGCAGAGTACACAAAATTGGCAAAAGTCTCTGTTTGAAAATGCTACTTAACTTTGTCTAGATTGTCAAGAAGCTCGGGCGACATCGTTCGGCGTTCGCACTGACTGTTTGAACATATCAAGATGACAAAAAAAATTATTTCTAATACAACTTTCGATAACTGGAGCAAAAAGATGGCTGACTTACTTGTAACTCAGCTTTTTTAATGTCTCTATCTACATTCATACATATCAGAATTCATACTGGGTAAAATTTGCATGTGTTTCTATCCTCACTGCTAAAGTTTGAAAGGAGGTATGCGAACTATTGCAATCACGATGAAAGGGTTAGTTTCCAGTAGGGCTCTAAAGAGGTAGAGCATTAGGCGAATGCGCTTTTTTAAGCAGCGGAAAAAAAAACGTTTCTAGTGCTACGAGTATTTCATACAATTGGGTAGGCACATGTGAGACGTCATTACAAACAGTACCTCTCCCAATAATGTTCTGTGATGTAAGATCGCGACTTCTATATAGCGCACAACAAGGGTGCGCCTAGCCAGTTTTTTATACATTCGTGTGGAACCCCAGCTGAACATAGGAAGGCAATAAGGAACAAATGAAAGAACCAGCGGTTGGTTGGCTTTCCTCATCTCCTTCCTTCCTTTCTATGTTTAGCTGGTTCCATCCGACTTGTATGTAGCATCCAGTAAAGCTTCCAAAGCTCGTAAAATTAAACTATACCAAATCCTGAATTTTGTGATTGCACACTACAGTTAGGTTATAGACTGATTTTTTCAAAAGAAAACCTGATGTAATGATAAGTTCTCTTTTTTTTTGAGCGTACGTATGTCATAATTCTAAAAACGCATTCATAATCGCGCACACTATCACGTACAAGTTCATAAATCATAGCTCCTATATGTTTCAACACCTTTCTGAAAATAATTTTATTGCTCAATAGATTAATTTTGAGTTTTTATTAGTAATATGCATTCTACGAAAGCATTCAAAAACAGTACTAACACAACCCATTTTTTCCAATATTCTCATGACTTGGAACAAAACTCACGTCAAGAATTTAGAACGTACGATTTATTTAGACGAACTCAAGTCTGCAAATAAAGAGGTGAAGTTCATTTTGAGACGAAACTTGTGTGTAAACATTCCACAATTTTATCGAAAAGAACTAAGTGCATTAGACGCCGCTGCTTTTCATTAAGGCTTAGATCTGGTATTATGATTATGTGAAAATTGAAAATAAACTTCGACGTAAAAGAGTGTTATATTCATTTCATTAGAAAGTGCAAACCTATTTTTTATTCAATCATCTGAACGGTCACTGGCTTAATGAGGTTGATCATTTTAAGTACCTAGGTGTTTATTCTCCTTCTGCTTTGACTTGAAATAAGGACATAACTGAATAAACCAATATGCCTAGCAGTACATCATATTTCATCAAAAGTAAGTTCAAAAGAGCACCTGTGTATCTATGACACAAACGTTCGGCCAGTTTTCGCATACGCGTGTACGGTTTTGAACTCCCAAACTCAGAATTTGATTTAGTAATTGGAAGGTATCTAATATCGTGCAGCTCCTTTTGTAGGTGGCAACTACAGATTTCACTTCAGCATTTCAAACATTAAACAACAACTTGGATGGAATCTTGTATGAAACCAAGAAACTTTTCACGTTGTAGGTTATTTTACTATAATTTTCTGATCAAAATAGCTTCAATAAAAACGCTTAAACAAGTGTTATGCATTATAACTCGAAAGAAATGATCACCGGATTAAAATTTGTGACAGTTCATCTCGCTGTCATATGTTTCTGCGTTCTACTGTAGGCTTCTTCTCGTTAAACGTCGGTTATTTTGTGTTATCTTTCTTAGCGTACATTTTGCTGTATGTGTTTTTGTGATGTTCCAACACCTTACAATAATTCCCCCTGGACGAGGTGGGTCCAGGCGTAAATAAAAACATAAATAAGCCCATGGCTTTGACGTTACGTCACTGCGTTGCCGCCGCTGTGTTCACAGTGCATGCGCAGACGCCTCACCGAAATCTGGTTTTTGCAGACGCGCAGTGCCCATACCTTGTGTGGGAAAACCCTGATTTCTTTGTAAACAGCATGCTGGTGTATATATAGAGTCAAAGTCACCCGCATCTTTCTACGCAAACTAAAGCTACGAACTTCGCCATCAACTCTGTGACTTTCCAGAATTGACATGAGAAAACGACAGAGTAAACCTAACGGCTGTTTTTCGGGTGAAGAGCAACAGCGCTAGCAACTCTTTGTTCTTAATTTGTTTCCATGCCCATGGCAGGCTTGCAACATTAACCATTAAAAAGTATTATTACAATGTTTTATTTTGCAGAACCAACGGAACGGAAAATTTTGGCAATGCCACGTAAGTCAAGTCACATATTAACACTACTAAATATATTTGTTTAAAGATTTTATACTTTAATGGCGCAACGCCGAAGAGCGTTATAGTTGCTTTAAGATATGTTAATATAGCTGTCATATTTTGCTAGATTATATTTAACAATAACAATAATCCTAAGTCCGATATAAGTTGTAAATTGCACGACCCGGTCAGCGCGAACCTATCATGAGTGATTCTTCATATTGTATTTGCAGAGTATACCGTCTGATAGAAATACGTGTCATATAATGTCATGTCTAGTATATGCACATTTTACTAGACAGCAGTTTTGATTACTTTGTAATCGCAAAAGTACATTCAGAACACCGAAAACAAAAAGTTGATGCCCTCGGTGCCCGTGAATACTCGGGCGACTCAAACCACAGAGAACACGAGGAACACCAAGCGGTCGGTTGTTCTTTGCTCTTTCTTTTTTTTTTTTCTACAGAATCTTTTCAGCAGAGTGAAAATATGTTATTCCTACTAATTGTGCCTCGCTTTTAAACAATGCAAGAATTAATTCCTCAAAAGAACAAGCATTATTATGTTGCTGCATGACCTTCGATCACAAATGAAGGTATTCAAATAGAGTTAAAGTAGAGAAAGCGATGCACGATGAGGAGAGTAAATGGAGGCCTAGAAGCATTTGGAAATATTCACATCGGGACATGCCACGAAGAACCATTCCCGACACGAGAGTGGGAGGAAACAAAAACAAGCACTTCGGTAGAACGTAGTTCATTTGGGCTTCGAAGGTTTGTACTTAGGAAGCTTCATTAAGGGTAGCTAAAACGTGGCTGTCATAAAATTGTTTATTATTTTCGACTTGTTTAACTTCAAGACTTCAACACAGGTGCAGAAATATTTGTAATTTACTGCTGACTTTGGACGTAAAAAGATGTTCTGGAAGAGTAGCGAAGCTGTTTCTAAATATATTTTCTGATCTTGGACACACATATTTATTGACTACTACCTTACTTATGAATCAAATTGAAGCATAGGTATTGCCACATATATTTAGCGTATTCACACTTGTCTGTGTCCATAATACTGAGAACTGGATGAAATACTATGTTATTTAAGCACTTTCGTTTCATTGTGCCACCTTGATGACATTCTGTTTTCCAGGAATCCGAACCCAAGTACAAATTCCCGACGAGTTCTTTGTCGAGGTGTCGTTTATTTTCGATGAATACCACAGCAAGAACTTTCCAGATGAGGAAAGCCTCTTAGAGTACGCTGCACTAAGTGTTCAGATGGTATGACTTCTTTGATAAAGAATATGATACAATGTTAGTTTTAGTTCTGTTTTTTACTTCGCACTCAAAACAATTTGGGAACTCGTTTTTATGTGCAAAAGTCAAGTCTTAATATCACGTAACGCAGAGCTTTTTTTATCATAACCAGATAGCCCATCAGAGAGCATTAGAAACCCCCTCATTTCCATCATTAATCTCAGTGATTGCACGCTACTCGAAACGTAGCGAGATAGTTTAAATCTCGCTTGCTTTGACAGTAGTCACGCAAAAACAAGTCGCTTCATAACTTGCTCAGGTTTCACCTTTAGTGCAAGTGTAATACTCTTACTGTATTCTTTGAGCATAATAGCAAACACATGAACGCCTCGATTAAACGTGATCAGAAACTATTGATGTTTAAACTCTAAACGTTTTTAGTGACGAGCAGCTTAAGTATGGTCCATCATGCACTGAGAAATGCCATGAAGTTAAAACAAGTACTTCAGAGCACCTTCTGTTCGTGGTCAAAACAATCTGTCTTCAAAACATGCTCACTTTGGCTCGTTCTTCAGAGTTTTATTCGGAAGCCTTCTATTCTAATTAGAACCCAAGTACAACTTGCTGACCTGGTCACGCGAAAAGAGTTTTACTTTTTCACTACCTTCGGAAAAAATAAGAATCTATTCCATACAACTAGAGTATCGAAGAGTTACTTGGTGATTAATCGATAGAATCAAATAAAATATACAATTTCAGACATTGAACAGGATGCAGGTGGATGGGCAAAGCAAGATTAGGTTTGACAAAAAAAAAAAAAGAAATTAGGCTTCTGTGCTGCGGTGCGCAAAGGCTGAGCTGCTGCTTTGTATCCTGGCTTCACAACTGCAGCATCTTTTTATATAACACAAATTTAGCGCGAGACGCGCTCAGATATTGTAGCTTGAACCAACCATGTTTTACTTAAAAGGAATCATGGCTCGTTTATGTCGAATGACGTTATCTTGAATTTCTTTAGTGTGAACGATTGCACTCAAAGTGATAGGAAACCGTTCAATCGAAGTCTATGCGAATTGCGTCTAAACATTAGGAAAACCCCGAAAAAACACAAGTTCTAGCGCTATAGCGTAAGCAAAAAAGATAAAAGCCGAAAGATTCAAACGTCGTCATTCCCGAATAATTAGTCCAAGACATGGCTGTTTTTTAAATATTTTGTGGTCCTCAATCATAGCCCAAATGCAGAGGTGTAGACTGGTATCTGTTTTAGGCGGAAAGGGGGGAGGTGTAACCTTATCAGGCTCCCTACCCCCCCCCCCTTTTCTTGGCTACGCCTCTGCTGAATTCGTGTACGTTATACGCTAATATAAAATACTTTCTAATCTTTACCCCACTTCGTCTCAAGGTGAACCTGCGATACGAGGCTACTTCGAGACCAAAAATTACATTTGTCCTGGTCAATGTTATGACACTAACAGAGGTAATTACATGTTCATCTGTACCTCTCATATAATCGCTGTCTTTTTTTTGCGTTGTTGAAAAGGCCATTTTGCAAAGTCATATTTTTCTCTAGGGGGACTCGTTTACGGACACGATAGAGGCAGCAGATAACTTGAGGCCAGATCGCAATAAAAGATACATGCTCTCTCGAAATACCATCAACAATCTCGGGAATGCTATTAAAACCAAAAGGTTCAAGACTAAAGCAGACCTGACCGTCTTGATCACATCGTAAGTGAAATCGATTTACACATTGTTTATTACAATACAATATACAATACAATACAACTTTATTTTTCCAAATTGAATTTTGCTCAACACCCAAATAAGCCGATGAGGCTTCTTCGTGGGACGCGACAGGTCAAAACAGATTCCTTCAATTTTGTAAGATATTCTGTTTGGATATGTTACGCCCTAGACACTGTAACTTATACTATGAGTTAAAACGAATATACATAGAAAGGTTTGATTAGGCACAGTCAATAAATATATAAAAACAACACAATAACAGGAGAAAACGAACCCAATTTAGCAGTACAATTCTACAGCTTTCCCTCGGTCAATATCTACATAAAAACAAACTCAGGTTGCAATATATGCGTAGTCTGGGACGAAGGAGAGTTCATTTTAATTAATCCCATATGAATCATTAATTATATTTTTAGAGCGCAGCTCTTAGCGCCCGTTTCCGGCTTGAGCGGCGTCGCCGTTGGTGTCGCCATCGCCGTAACCAAGGTCACCCCAAGGTCACGTGACCCCTCCCAAGGTAACATCACCCCCAGGTCAAGTGACCCCAAGGTCACGTGAGCCCTTCTAATGCCACCTCAAGGTCACGTGACCAGAGGAGTGCAACTTCCTATACCGCCCATGGAACGCAAATCGGAAAACCCTGGAGGCCGCAGCGCCATTTGAATTACCTGGTATCTGGTGGCTGTACTAAAATCGACATGGCGGCACAGCGAAACCAAAACCGAAACTGCATGGCAGCGCCATTGTGTTTGGATGGATGGGCGGTAGCTTGCGCCACCTAGAGTTAAAAATATATATATTGCAGCTTTTTTTTTTGCCCGGTTTGCGCGTTGCTTTGCTAGGCTTCTGCTGCTTTGCGGCTGGTTTTCGTATTTCAGCGCTGGTTAATGTGCGTTGAAACGCACACAAGCCAGCACTTTAAAGCGAGACCAGCAGCAAAGCAGCAGAAACCTAGCAAAGCAATGAAAGTGACACATACACAAAAAATATGCAATGCTTGTCCTTTTGCGTTCATTTTTATTCAAGACAAGAGACAGTAGAAAATACAGACGAAATTTCTCAATATTTTGCAGACAAGAATCAAAGAAATTAACAACAAAACAGGATGAAACGTTAAGGTTACGTGCGACGAAGGTGATGATATGCGTCCTAGCAAAGGCACTTCGCTAAATTTACATAAAATCTCTACGTTCGTGAACCCTTTCGAGCTTCTTGGCGTATACTCACAAGCCTTACGCCGTCCAGCCACAGGCGTGGAGCCCAGAAAAAAAAAAAGTTGAATTGCTTGATTGGCCATTACGTGCCTGATATGGTCATATGAAAACAACGAGCTTTTTCTGCGCCTCCTTTCAAAAAACGGTACTTGCAGTTCAACACTGCGACACTAAAAACTCGTGTCTCCTCTATTTTTCTTCTCCTTGACTTAAATGCCTCCACGCAAAATTGACAATCATTTCGAATTTGATTATATAAGTAAGCGTATAAGTAAAGACCGACGACGGTGTCTTGCTACTAAAGGAAACTAAGGAATGAGGTCAAGAAAAACAGCTCAGCTCTGTGGTATTGAGTCTTCATCGAGAACCTGCGTTCGTTTTTAATATTATCACTTAAATTTAGGAGTGCGCCACTGCTCAACGAAACGGGAAACCAGAGCGGATCGCTCCATCGCTCATCCTCAGTTAATCGAAAAATATTTAGGCTCAATTGCGCTCCTCGCGAACAGACGCGTGAATCGCTAAAAACAATGCCAAATAAACAGCTCACAGCAAAAAGTTTCCCATCTTTTAAAGTGAGCATATGTGCTCGATCTTAAATGACACAGAAGTCTCCAGTAATTTGACAATGACATATTTCTCGCGGCGAGTGAAGAGCAATCCTGAACAATGATAGGATTTGGTTTTGTGATTGGAAACCATCGTAGCTATTGCCAAAATCAAACAATTAATACTCACTACCACTGCAAAAATTAGGTTTTGTTGCAAACATCTCATCAGGGAGTTAAGCAAGAGAAGACCAAAAGAGCGTACAGCACGTCTATTGGAGCTCGAAACCATTGATGTCCCGGCTTCCGGCAATCATTGTTTCCCCACTTGGCACATCTGGTGGTGTGTTGATGACGAAAATCCATGCTTGACCACATTACAAAAACAACGAGTTCCCACGAAAAAGAAAAGAAAACCGCGCGCGCACGAACGCGGCGCGAATCTCGCGCCGCGACGCACTCCCAGAAGCGAAACAGCTCGCCAGCTCGCGTCCCTCGCGCGTTCTAACGGTACACCGACCTCCCGGCGCCAGCGGCCAGCGCATGTCGAGGCGCGAGGCGCGGGTTCGGAGAGAGGGAAAGCGCGCCCAGACACGTTGAAAGAGTGAAAGAGAAAGTTACGATAACAAGCTTCAAAACCATTCACACCTTCAAAACAACTTCACCTTTATTTCGCTTCATTAATTATATAAATCATATTTATTTAAAATAAAATAACGAGTGCCAACACCCGCTGGGAGCGCGGCAATCGGAAGCAGTTCGCCGGACCGGACAAACGTCATAAGTATACGCGGCCGGACGGAAGTAGCTGAGAGCTTCACCCCACTGACGTGACCCCCAAGGTCCCGTGTCCCCCCAAGGTCACGTGACCCCTCCCAAGGTCACGTGACCCCAAGGTCACCTCAAGGTCACCTGACCTCCAAGGTGACCCCCACGTGACCCCCTAAGGTCACGTTACCCCAAGGTCACGTGGCCCCCCTCCCCAAGGTCACGTGACCCCCTCCCCCGAGGTCAGGTGACCTCCACGGAACATATTAAAGAATGAGGGGAGGAGGAGGAGGGGTGTACCCTCCCTTCAGTACCCTTCCCTCCTCCTCCTCAAGAGCTGAGCTCCAATTCGGCGTTACACGGAGTTGTAAGCGGCTTTCACTTTTTTCCTACTGCGCATTGATCCATTGTCGTGTTAGTTTTCTAATGTCACAGGGATTTTAAATCCAATCCGATCATCGGGTTATTCCTTAAAAGTTTTCGGTACATAATACATTCTTGTAGCCTCACCGTATTTCGTGTTTATTAATGGTACAGACTATTTCCTGTTACGACGCAGCGTTCTTGCCTTATTAATTTCTTTTTTATGACAACTTTTGAAAACATTTCTTGTTATATCATATTTCAACTGATCACTAAAGCACAGTACTCCCAATTCTTTACACATTTACTCTGTATAATTGCATTCTCCACTTAGGTAAAAAATCTTTCTAAATATCTTTTTTTGAAGAGTTTCTATTTTTGTTTGTAGATATTGAGCACAGTGTCCATAAACCGTTATTCCATATTGTAGGACAGATTTTCCTAGTGAATTATAAATCATTCGAAGTACAGAATGCGAAACTATATCTTGGATGTGAAATATATCAGCCGTCAGTACCCTTAATTTTTTACACACTTGTTCATCATGAATATTCCATTTAAGATGATTGTCTATGTGCATTCCAAGGTATTCGACATTTTCTGCATACTTTATTGCGGCGCATGAACAGTTAAGACAGTTTTTTTCGTGCATTTTAGTGGGTAATTCAGCTAATATTTTTTTCTCGGGTCTCTAAAGCACATTACTTGAGTTTTTGAGGTGTTTACAATAATTCGATTTTACGGAACCACTGAAGAATATTATGGATATCCTCCTGTATTTCCCTAACGGCAGTCTCATAATTTCTGTGGGCAAATACAATTACTGTATCGTCGGCAGACTGAAATAAATTACTTGTTAGTTTGACTTGAGCAATCTCATTCACGTATAGATTAAAAAAAGAGCACCTAGTACTGTTCCTTGGCGTACACCTTGTTTAACCTTTATTGCTGTACTGTATTTCGTCCCTAGTCGCGCTACCTGATATCTATCCAGAAGATAATTTTTAACCAAGTCATATGCCCTACCTCAAATCCTATGCTCTACAACCTATCTAACGATATAGAATGATTTATTGTTTCAAAAGCCCGTGTAAAATCGATGAATAACGCTAGTACAAATTTACCATTATCTAGATTTTCATAAACATAATCAAAACAGTCCTCTAAAAGATCAGAAGTCCCTATTTCTTCTCTAAATCCATATTGTGTATGAATTAAAATGTCATTCTTTGCTATAAATTTTTGCATTATTTTATTTAGGTATCTTTGTTATATAATTAATTACCGAAAGTATACATACAGGTCCATAATTAAGAAATTTATTTTTCTCGCCTTTCTTATACACAGGCCTGACAACGGCTATCTTTAGCTTTTTGGGAATGACGCCCCCCGAGAAAATACCGTTATATAGTTGAGGGAGCACTGGTTTTAATATATGGACGTGCTTCTTAATATCTCTTGCCCTTATTTGGTCTAACCCCACTGCTTTATTTGTTTTGAATTGATTCACGATTTCAATTAGGTCATTCTCCGACATGTCTGGAAGAAAAATTGAGTTGTTCATCCTGATTTGATTTGTCTGCCTTTCTGTTGAACCACAACAAAGACTCTCAATGGGGTGTACATATTCTTTATTGAATCCGTTTCCAATCACTTCTATATCACAATTATAACCGAAATTAATTTTATAGGTGTCCACAATCGATTTATTTTTTTTCGGCCCAACAGCTGAATTACGAGTGACTAGCACTGGGCTAAATCTTTAGTTTCTAAAAATTTCGTCCAATAACAACTTCTTTTCGCACTTCTTACGAGGGAGTTTACTTTGTTCCTAATTGCACGATGTTCATTTTTACACTTTACATTGTTCGGAAAGCGCTTTAAGAGCTGCCATGCCTTCGTTTTTTCTTTGATTAGATCATCGATCTCTTTAGTTATACAATCATTCTGTAACTTGCGTTTCTTTATATTATTTTTGGTTGATTTTTTGTATATATGATCAAATATATCTATAAGACTGTCATATAGTTTTTCAGGAACCTGTTCTTTAGCAATTTCATTCCAGGTCACTTCCTGTATGTAGATATCA